CAGTAGTAGTAGATTTGTAAAATAAGCTTTACTATCAGAAGGTTATCTTTAACATGCTCACTATGCAGCAAGTAATTTGAGACAGATAGTCATCCTAAACTCACTGGTAGCTCTTGAGCACTGGAGCTGGAATTTAAATCCAGGCAATCTGACTCCTAGGCTCCCTCTTAAGTCAAGCTTTCTAATAGGAACTCCTGCCCTGTTTCCCTTGCATGAGTGCTATTGAGATTAATAGAGAATATGCACAGGAAGGAAGCACTCAGGGTTAACCCTGGAAACAGAACAGAGCCAGAAAAACTCATGGCTTATTTAAGAAAGTAAATGGAGGCTAGATGTACAGCTGTGGAAGAGCATCCTTAGTATACACAAGGCATTGGGTTCCATATTTCGCCCCAAAAACCACTAAGAATAAGTAAAATTTTTGTCCAAGTAAATGGAACAAGACTAGGCTATCATATCAAGCTAAGAAGTGCAACTTAACCCAAAAGACTGGGAGTTGGAAACAGGGTGGGGGTGCACATTTATGGAAAACTGACAATGGACCAAACTCTCTGCTGGGTGTTCTCACATAAGATAGAGATTTTTCTTTAAAAAAAATTTGACGCAATCCCACTTGTCTAACCTTTCTTCAATTTGTTGTGTTTCTAGGTCTCTATTAAGAAAATTTTGGCCTGTGCCAAGGAGACCTAGGGTTTCTCCTATTCCATCCCTTAGTATTTTCAGGGTGTCTGCTTTGACTCCAGGTCTTTGATCCATTTGGAGTTGATTCTGGTGCAGGGTGATATATAAGGATCTAGCTTTTATTTTCTACAAGTGATTAACCAAGTTTGCCAGCACCATTTACTGAAGAGGCTTTCTTCCATTCTATTTTTTTAGCTCCCTTATCGAAGATTAGATGGCTATAGGTCTGTAGGTTCATTTCTGGGTTTTCGATTCTATTCCATTGGTCCCGAGGTCTGTTCTTGTGTCAGTACCAAGCTGTTTTGATTACTATGGCTTTGTAGTAGAGTTTGAAATTTGGTATTGATATTCCTCCAGCGCTGTTCTTTCTGTTAAGGATTGTTTTTGCTACTGAGACAAGCAGAAAAGGTCAGATAAGTTGACGTTTGGTGAAATGAACCCCATGATAAGTATTCAAATGTTTTTTCTTTCTTGCAATTGTTTCTAATATATTTATAAGATAATTTCTTTGTTGCTTTGTATGTCCCTCCCCCACAGTATAACCCCTGCTTTCATTGTATTTGATGTTGGCATAATTTGGAGAGGGGAAGGGCAAAAACAAACCGTTTAAAGAGGGATACAGGTGGACCCATTGCAACAATGAGATGTACAAGTCGTTATGTTGAAAACGAACTTTACAATTTTTTTTGGAGGGGGAAGGGAGAATGGGAAGGGATGGGAAAGGGAAACAAAGGAGGAGGCTACAATGCTTGATAAGAAATGTACTCATTATCCTGCCCATGTAATTGTAACCCCTCTGTACAATATTTTCACAACAATTTTTTTTAAGGAGATGCAGGAAGCAAGGTGGAAATGAAACAGTAGGGAAACACCAAGCTTTCTCCAGCCAAATAGAGAGTTTGAGTTCCACCTCTCAGTTCCCCCAAGAGATCAACAACAGCAAAAAGACAAACCACAGAAATACACGAACGAAAACAAAAGAAGAAAAAAACTTCAGAACCTGCACAAAGATGAAAAACATGAAGACCCTTCCCCCGCCCCTCACAGGAGCCCGGCTCCAAGCCAGCCCCCATTTCCGCCCTCCCCCACCCCCACCCCCGGCTGCCTAGGACCTCAGAGCCATCGTGGTCCATAGAACTCCAGCCGAGAAAACCTCCATGGCTCTGGACCTGACCGAGTAAGCAGACAGAGACTGTGAAACCTAGGCCCAGAGCCCCACACTGCTCAGCCCACAATCATCGCAGTGGAGCCCAGTGGCAACCAGTGATCTACAGTACACAGATACAGTGATCTGCCACACCACCACTGGACGGCCCTTAACCAGTTCCAGGATAAGTAAGTACCCATGGGGGACACCCCCACCCTGCCACGGGAGACCAGCGCTGGTGGTAACGCCCAGAGCTAGACCTAGACCCCTCTGTCCCCCACCTGGGCTTCTGGTCCCACTGAGGCAGGGAATTGTGAAATCGCCCCCAGCAACGTGGGGAATACACCCAGCCTGCCAGGTCACAGCCGGTCCTAGGAACCGCAGAAGGAGCCCGCCTGTGTGTGCGGGGTGGGTGCTCTAACAAGTTAAACTGAGGGTTCCTGGCTGAAATCGGGAGCCGTGAGCAGACTCCAGCAGCCAGGGGCAGAAGGAACCCCACATGTGTGTTCTGGATGGCTGCTGTTGACCCAGGAACCAACGCAGGATTTGACTCTGATAATCACTGAGTCCTCAGGCAAAAATCCCAGAGAAAAATTACAAGACTCATCAGCAGGGAAGACATCAAATCATCCCCAAAGGCCAGCAGCCACCCAGCCAAGCACGCCAGTGAAAGCGAAAAAGAAATGGAAGGCAAAGGCTACCTCCAAGAGATGATAGAGGATTAAAGACCTTCACATCAAACCTGAAACTCTGAAACTGCTTCAGGACAGAGTAGGAGAGACACTTGAACTTATAGGCACAGGCAGGAACTTCCTGAACAGAGCCCCAGGGTCATAACAAATTGGAGAGAGACTCAACAAATGGGACTGTCTTAAAATAAAAAATTTCTGCACATCTAAAAACATAGACAACCAACCAATTAGGAAAAATTATTTACCAGCAACATATCAGACAAAAGTCTAATATCCATTATATACAGGAAACTCACGACACTTGTAATCCCTCCCAAATGTAGCAAACCAATCATTAAATGGGCAAGGGAGCTAAAGAGAGACTTCTAGAAGAAGAGATAAAAATGGCAAAGACACACATGAGGAAATGTACATCATCCCTGGCCATAAAGCAAATTCAAATAAAAACAATCCTGAGATACCACCTTACCCCAGTCAGAATGGCCCAAATCCTAAGTCAGCCAACAACAAATGTTGGCAGGGATGTGGAGAAAGAGGAACCCTATTACACTGCTGGTGGGAATGTACACTTAATACAACCACTTTGGAAAGCAGTCTGGAGGTTCCTCAGAAAGCTAAATTTAGACGTCCCCTATGACCAGTCATACCACTCCTAGGCATCTACCCTGAGCAACAGGAGTCACCATCTGAGGGCACATGCACCTCCATGTTCATTGCAGTTCACAACTGCCAAGATATGGAGACCCAGATGCCCCACTACAAAAGAATGGACCCAAAAATTGTGGTACCTATGTACAATGGAATATTATGCAGCCATTAGATAGGAAAAAGTGATGGCATTTTCAGGGAAATGGATGGAACTAGAACAAATCATTTTGTGTGAGGTAAGCCAAGATCAGAGAGACAAACAGCACATGGTCTCCCTGATATGTGGATGTTAAATCCAAAATGCAAGGAGCTATGACAAAGTAAGCAAGACACAAGAAACAAAGGACACCTGCTTAATTTGTCATATAATTTCTAAATGACTCCATGTTCTTGACCTCATATATGGTATATAGATGTGCACATCTGAGGAAAGCTAGAAGGACGGCACAGAATCAGAGGGAAGTGGGGGAAAATACAACACAAGGGCGCATCAGCTGCACTGGACATTGATGAAAATGAACTAAGCAACTCAAGGGCAGAGATGGGAGGAATGGAATGAGAGGGAAAGAGGGAACAGTTTACACTAAGCAAAAGGAAAGAAATGTCCATATCACCTGATGTGGAAGAAATGGTTGTATTGTCTAAGCTTATAGAATTCACAAACTGTATAGACCATAATAATGACAATTTGCCTAGTGAAGGTTAAAATGTATATGTGACTTTAAGTATCACTCTCCCACAATAGTGTGAAATCTGTGAAATTTATGTAATCACTTAATCTCAATAAATAATTATTTCTTTTTCAAAAACCTGCAAACTTGCCAGGTACTAGTATCTCAAAACTCTAATCCTAGCTACTCAGGAAGCTGAGATCTGAGACTCCAGGTTCAAATACAGCCTGGGCAGAAAAGACTGTGAGACTCATATCTCCAATTAATAACCAGAAAACTAGAAGAGGTGCTGTAGCTCAAGATGGTAGAGCACTAGTTTTGAGCTGAAGAGCTCAGGGACAGTGCCCAGGTCCAGAGTTCAAGCCCCATGACCAACAGAAAAAAAAAAAAAAGAAGAAGAAGAAAGAAAAAGTAGCAACTAACTCCACCCCAGTTCTTTTTTTTGTTTTTTGGTTTTTTGGGGATTTTTATGGGTCCGGTCGTGGGGCCTGAACTCTGGGCCTGAGCACTGTCCCTCAGCTCTTCAGCTTAAGGCTAGCGCTCTACCACTTGAGCCTCAGCGCCATTCCCGGCTTTTTTTTCTGCTTATGTGGTGCTGAGGAATCGAACTCAGGGCCTCATGCATGCAAGGCAAGTGCTCTACCACTGAGCCACCTTCCCAGCCCCAGCACCCCAGTTCTTACCTAAAAAAGATTCAGTAAAGTTAGAGGAAGGCTATTAACAGAACTCAGAGCTGCACAGCAAATAAGGGTACTATTGCTTTGCATCACAGTGATAAGGTCACTGTCCCTGAGGAAATCACAGTATAGTTGACAAGCTGACCAACAGAAAACTAAGTGAAGGGACAAATATTCCCAAGAAAGAAGTTTCACAATGTGCATATACAAAACCATTGAAGACTTTCACACAGTGCTTTAAAGAGTGCTGCATCACAGAAGTCTAGTTCAGACTTTCCTGAGTACAGGAATATGTGACAAGTAAATGTTAAAACCTTAAGACAGACAACAAATTCCCTTTTTCAATCAGCTGAAACAGCTTCAATGAGCTCATTAAAGAAACCTGTCTTAATTTCTTATAAAACAATAGGGACTCTCCTAACACACCAATATCACAGAGTTACACAAGTTAAATAACCAAGTGCAACATTTTCTTTATCCATACCTGAAACTCGGCAGAGGCAGCCATCCTGGCAGGAGCCAGGCTGCATTGCTAAAACCTCCATACAGATCAGCATACAGCCGGACCACCTTCTCATTGAGTTGACTTCTGATTTCCTTTCCATGCAAACAATGGCTAGCAGTTAAAATTATAAGCTCAGAAAGAGCTTCAAATACATCTAAGGGAAAAAGAATCATTATCATTACTACTACCCAAAGTCTTTGGAAACATTTTTGTAAAGACATAAAGGATTTGTGAAAAAAAATGACAATTAAAAAAAAAAAAGACAAGCACAGCCAGGCTTGGTGGTTCATGCTTGTAATCCTAGCTACTCAGAGGATAGAGGGAGAAGGTTTGTGAGTTTGAGAGGCCAGGAAGGCTCCAGCTAAAAAGGCAAGGGAGAACAAAAAGCGGAGAGGAGGGAGCTATAGGTACAGTTCAAATAGCAGTGTGGTGATCCGAGGCCCAGAATTCAGCCCCAATGCCACAATATAAGAACATAAAGCCAATAAGCAAAATTATCAGATGTACAATGCACTTTTTTCAGCCAAAATAAATGTCACAAAGGCATCTCTAAATTCACTCATGAGCTCTTCTACACCGTGAAAATAAGGATAACTATGGCTATGTGATTTTCAATTCACAGTAAAAACCATCAATAAGGTTGTTTAAAGCCTCTGAGGACATGCCAGGTATGGTGATGCATACTTGTAATCCCAGCTACTTGGTAACTAAGGAGGGGGAGGGGGGAATCAAGGTTTTAGGCTAACCCTGGTTTAAAAAAGAGAAAACATGGCAAGACCTCCACCTTAACCAATAAGCTGGGCACAATGGTAGTCATATGTAATTTCAACTATGCAGGAGTCATAGACAGGAAGATGGTGGTCAACATGGGGAAAAAATGTAAGACCTATCCAAAAAAATAACTGAAAGGAAAAGGAGCTAGAACATGGCTGAAGGGGTAAAGTACCTGCCTAGCAAGTACAAGGTTCTAAATTTAAATCCCAGTAAATGAAATAAATAGAATGAGGACACTAACTGGGTGCTTTCCCAATACAAGGCCACAGACTGACTTTTTTTTTTTTACCTAGGTCAAATCAAGAAGATAAGGAAAAATATTGAAGTGTTAGCCATAGAGGACAGGCAACTCTAATTGCCAATTGCTATATCCCAGCATTAGAGACAGATGTGTCAGGCAAAAGCCACTTTGTTAACTTAAAAGCCATGAAAATTATCCAGTTAATTCCTTGTCCTTTAATTCCACATTCATCAGTGACCTTCTATGTAACTATGTAACTACGTAAGTTCAGCAAATGTTCTGGCCATCTTGATGCTAAAAGTATCTATCAAACATGCATTTATTAAATTGGAATTCTAACCAAAGGGGTAGCACATGCTTATAGTTCCAGCATCAGAAGGATGAATTAGAGGGAATACAAGTTCAAGTCCAGCTTAGGATATAAAATGAGACTGTGTATGTATATTTGTACATGTATGTGTATATATGTACATACGATGTGTGTTTAAATGAAGAGAGAGAGAGAGAGAGAGGTAATAGAATAAAGAAATGTTCTAATGTTCACATCAGCTTCTTTCATAGTTAGAAAATATACCTATCACCTTTAGGTGCATTAATGATAAGAACAAGGTTCTAGACTCTTTACAGAAGCTGAAACCTAAGCCCTGAATGTAGTGAACTGATGTTTTCTACTATAAATAAGGCTATTGCTTCAAAGGCAATAGTTACAGTCTAATGTAAAGACTGTATTTCTGTTTACAACTCCATGGTAGTCAAACATGTCCTTCTCATTAAATCCACAGTAGCTTGATACATTCTGCTTTGTTTTGTACACACACACACACACACACACACACACACACACACACACACACACACACATTCTAGATCCCTGTTCACAGAAAAGAACAGGACAAGTATAAAACATTTTGCTTACCTTTTTCTCCACTTTCTCCCCAACTTTGGAAATACTCCTTTGTTTCTTTTTCAATTATTGAAACACACTGCTTAAAGTAGTCTAAGTTAAGACCACGTACTAACATTTTCTTCTGTTCTTGGAAAATCTTCAAAAAAAAAAAAAAGACAGAAAATTTCAAGGGTATACATTAAAGTAACTTTTTGTTTTATCATAAAATCCCGTGGGTTGTTCTAACTATACAGTACTTAGAGAAAACCACATTCTAAAAAGTAGAAAATAAAAATAAGAGCACTTTTTAGATATGAGACACTTCAAGCATCTTTGTATTTATATGAAGTAGCCTACAGCTATCAAGGTCCTAGGCAAGTGATAAACTAGCCCCAACTCCTGCTTCGCTTTGGTTCCTTTTTTGCACTCCTAACTCCAGGGACCATTTTGCTATGGAGGTTACTTTCCAGTCTCCTAACCCAGTACAAATGCCGATGCAATGTCCCAAGCGTCCACCATACTTTGACATTATTTTTATCTTCCTTCAGTTTTCACTTATTTAATGCCTTCTAGTTTTTCAGATCATTTGATCCAAGAGATAAATTATTTATACATTATAAATGTATAATAACACACATCTAGCTATATTTAGTTTAGTACAGAGCCATAAAAGTACCACCTACCGCATTAGGCACATCATATACAATTCCCTTTCCAAACACAGGTGTTGTGAGTCGACTGTAGACATCTTCTGCATTCAGGTCTTCATTTTTACTATTAAAAAGCAGTGCAGCAGCATCACTCCCCAGAAGGTAAGTAAATGTCTTGCCCACCATGGTAAAACTAAATACAGGTCCATACTAAAGAAATAATCCATAGTGAGGTTAGCACACACACAAAAAGGCAACACAAAGGTACTTCATGTTCTTAAATTACAAAATAATATTTCATTGAGAAACATTTATGGCATTTGAATCTTTAAAAAATTCCCTTCATCTTTCAATACCCTCAACCTTTGTTTAAATTTGTAATTATGTGCATCCAGTTGTAAAGACTGTATAAATACATTTAATTCTTCCTTTTCTCATTTGCCCTGTTCTATCACTTAAACATCATATTTTCTACCATTAGATAGGACAATATTAATTTAGTTAATTTCTCAGTTAAAATTGGACATGTTGATAATGTGTCACAGAGATGTTGGGGTTTTTTTCTTTACTATAAAATTCTGTAATGAACACTTCTGAGAACTCTGAGAATATACTTCTTTTTTCCTTGTGTAAAATAAATGTACTGGGGGAAGAGGAAGCATGGCTCAGGTAATAGAGCACTCATGCCCAGCAAGAATGAAGCCTGAGGTTAAACCCTATTACCACCATAAATAACAGAATGAATGTAGAGGAGCAACCAAATGTTCTGGCCTTTTTTCTAGTATTTGGTATAGGAGGGTACCAGAACACTATTTAATTATCAATGTTTTGCTTGCTACCTCATCAACACTGATTTCATTTTTGCTATTACTGTCAATTTTGTTAGGTATCAAATGCTTCAGCTTGCATGTTTATAGTTATTATTAAAGACTAGGTTGTGGGATATAACCGTGAATAAAAAAAGGATTGTCCCTGATTCATGAAGCTTTTGTCTATTAGAAAAGATAAGACAAATAATCACATTAACAAAAGTAGAATTCCAAATGCAAACACGTATTACACAAAGAAAAGAAACCCAGACCAGAGAAGGTAAAAAGACACCAGGACTGAGAATGAATGGCAAGTGTAGTAGTAGTTGAGTGTGCACAAAGGCCTAAAGGTGAAAGGGGGAAAAATAAGAGGAGATGGGAGCCAAGAGTCAGGCAGAGCATAGACATATAGAGCCTGATAAGCCATATTAAGGTTTTTCTTTGCAAGCCAAGGAAAACTGGATATATTTTCAATTATATGGTGAGGACACATTTATGAATGTGGGTGAATATACATATTAATCTATGCAAAATATGTGATAGGAACAAAAGCAATGGCACCATATGAATCAGAACCTACTGCAAAATTTAATAAACACGTGACATGAGGTAATAGTGGCACAGGGAGATATAAGCAGAGAGAAAATTGTTATTTTGGAGATGGAATCTGCAGAACTGGCAATGGATAAGAGTTAGAAGTATCAAGAAGGAATGTTTTCTTTTTTCTTTCTTGGTGTCAGTCCTGGGCTTACAATTCAAGGCCTGAGTGCTGACCCTGAGCTTTTGTGCTCAAGGTTAGTACTACCACTGGAACTAGACCTCTGCTTCTGACCTTTTGGTGATTAATTGGAGATAAAAAAAAGTCTCACAGGCGGGCTGGGAAGGTGGCTCAGTGGTAGAGCACTTGCCTTGCATGCATGAGACCTTCGGTTTGATTCCTCAGCACCATATAAGCAAAAAGAAAAAAGCCGGAAATGGTGCTGTGGCTCAAGTGGGAGAGCACTAGCCTTGAGCTGAAGAGCTGAAGGACAGTGCCCAGGCCCAGAGTTCAGGCCCCACAACTGGACCCAAAAAATAAATAAATAAATACAAAAAGTCTCACAGGCTTTCCTGGGGAGGGGCGAGAGGGAAGGAGGTTTCCAGCAGTGATCCTCAGATTTAGCCTAAGTAGCAAGAATTACAGGTGTGAGTCACTAGTGTCCAGCTTCAAAAAGCAAGTTTATGCTTCTAGTATGCCTCAAAACTTGGAAAACAACAAGGAGGAGACTAGGATAAGATGATCATAACTGGAGAGAGGAAGAAAAAACAGTGGTTAATTAGAAATATTAGCTTTCAGAAGCCTTTCAAACAACTAAGAGAATCATATGGAAATTGGATATCCAGGTTTATAGCTCAGAAAAAGATCTGAGCCACAGACATGAATTTGGGTGACACTTACATATTAGCCAGTAACTGAAGCTGTAAGAAAAAAGATTACTAAGAAAATACAGGCATAGGACAAAAAGTTAGAGCACCCCAATATTAAATGGCAAATATCTGCCAATAATTGAGTTACAAAAGAGACCAAGACCTTTGGGTTAGTGACACGGAGCTTACTGATGAAGGGAGTAAAACAGAGACCAAAGAGAACTGAAGAATATGTAATAAAAAAAAAAAAGAATATGTAATAGGAGTCATCGAAACAGACAGTGAACACAGACAAGCCCGTAAATGGGTGTGACAGGAGACTTAAGTAGTTAAGAGAAGTCTTCTACTTCTTAAATGAAAAACACTGAACATTTTTCACAGAAAAGGAGAAGAGATTCAATGAGGAGATGTACACATTGACAGAAAAAAATAATAACATAAGGTTTTGGAAACAAAAGAAAGGGATCAAGAGTTCAGTCTTCAATAGGAGACAAAGGATTACACAATAAAATTAGGGTAGAACATAATGAGCTAGAGCACAAGATTCTGATACCAAATTGCCTGCGTTCAAACCCCAGCTCTTCCACATGTTGGTCCATCATCCAACATTCAGAAAAATTAACCTTTCTGTGCTTCAGCGTCCCTGATCTATAAAATGGCAATAGCCAAAAGTCTAAAGTTCGTGGAACTGCTGTCAAGATAATATAAATTACTCATAGAGGGAAAAGTATCTTGGTCATAGAAAATATCATTTGTTTTCAGTAAGAAAATGACCCCCCAGTAAGAAATGACCTGTTTTGTTATCTATATAATACATACACCTGAAGGAGGTTTTGTGAGGCTTCAGTGGAAGAATTTTTACAAAGCACTAAACTGTGAACAAAGTAGATGTTTAATAATTATTACCATGATTATAAAAAATAAGATTATATAAACACAAATGGGTTGATATGTTTGAAATCAAGAGTATGAGTATTTGTTATTGTTTTTTAGCTCATCCTGGGGCTTGAACTCAGGGTTCTGAGTGCTATCCCTCAGCTCTTTTGCTCAAGGCTAGTACTCTACCACTTGAACCATAGTTCTATAGTTCTACTTCTGACTTTTTGATGGTTAATTGGAGATAAATGTTTTGTGGAATTGCCTATTCAAGCTGGCTTCAAATTTCAACCTAAGATCTCCACTGCCTGAATAGCTAAGATTATAGACATGAGCCACTAGCTCCAAGCTAAGTGGCTTTTTAACTCCCTTTTCACTAGGAGTCAAAATCATCTGCTTGGATGGAGAAGTAGAAAGGCTCAGAAGTTCAGACATATAAAGGCTTGAATTAGTCATTAGGGTGCATGTTAAGTTAAAAGCAAGAACATTAAATAATTGAGCAATATGAAATTTCATTTAATATGAGTACTCATGACATTAGGAAGGAAGCAATCTGGCACAAGGAATAAGAAAATGAGTAACTCTCCCCACAGATAGTGTTTAGCCAGGTGAGCACAGTGAAAAGATCCAAAAACTAGACAGGTTGACAATGCTGTAACTGAAATGAGGGGCCATGGACCCAAAGTAGCAAAAGCCGGAAAACCAGAAAGAAGTCTGCTGGATCAAAACTTAAGTAAATGAGAACAGGGACTAATAATATTAAAGAATGCTTATTTTCCAAGAAATTGCACAAGAAATCTAAGAATAAGGTGACTTGCTGTTGTGAGGTAAAATAGCAAAGTCCAAGGCACAAGTATAGAGTTAACAGCTGAACTGACAGGAAAACTCATTAGAGAGGATCAAAGATTCCAGTGCCCATGATATCATGTAACCCAATCCAAGGCACAAGTGAAATCACAGAAAATGAATGGAACAGGTCAAGACAATCTGAGATACATGATTAACAAGAGTATTAGTTTTATCAATCTTAAGTATAATCAGTGAAAAATAAAATTTAGAACTATCCCAGAACACTGGGAGAAACTAAAGGGGTCTACAAGGCCTTTGTCCTTCTCAAACCAGAAAAGCTTCAATTTTTATGTTTTTTTTTTCCTCCTGTCAATAAGCATAACATCACCATTTTACAAGAAAAGTTTGCAAAGTACTTATCTAAACTAGCTCTTTTTTTTTTTTTTTTTTTTGCTTGTGGTTTTGGGGGGAGTCTATTTTTAAGACTTACCTTCTCATATGCGTTTTCTAGGAATTCAGTTGGACTTTTCCCAAATGCTATGGCGTGCCCAAGGAATGGAATTGGGGAGAAAATGTATGGTGGAGTTTTCTGTAAAAGAAAAAGAAATATTTCAGCCTCCACTTCATTTTAAGAGAAAAACTCCTATTAACCACCAGAAAACAGGAAGTAGTGCTGTTGCTCAAACTGGTAGAGCCCTGACCTTGAGCAAAAGAGCTCAGGAACAGTGCCCAGGCCCTGAGTTCAAGTCCTATGACCAGAAAAGAAATGTAATTCATACACAATAATTATATTATTCTATTATTCAACCACAAAGAAGAATGAAATCTTGTCATCAGGAAAAAAATGGAGCAGACTATCACAAGCCAGACTCACAAAAATTAATACAGCATGATTCTCTCCTATGAGTAATTAAAAATAAAAAATAAAAATAAAATAAAAAGAATGGCATGAATATAAAAGCATAAGTATTTGGGAAGGGGTAACCAGTAGGCAATAGAAGGTGGAAGAAAACCCATAGGGTCAAGGGGGTTAAATATAATCAAAGTACATTATATGTATGTGTGAAAAGAGTGTTTAAACATAATAAAAATTGTACAAAAAAGGGGGACAGGAAAAGTAATAGAGGAGGTAAATATGATCAAAATACATAGAATAAACTGCATTGCACAATTAAAAATATAAAATAAAATATACCCACATAGGACTGTAAAAGTACAGATTTTTTCACTAGGAATTGCTTTAGCATTATCCGTCATATGCATATTTATTATATTTCTTTATACATATTATTTACATACACACACACACACACACACACACATATGTAAGTAGGTAGGTAGGTAGGTAGGTAGGTAAGTCCTGGGGCTTGAATTCTGGGTCTGAGCACTGTCCCTGAGCTCTTCAGCTCAAGGCAAATGCTCTACCATAGCACCACTTCAGGTTTTCTGGTGGTTAATTAGAGATGAGTATCATGGATGTTCTTGCCCAAGCTGACTGTGAACTGTGATCCTCAGATCTCAGCCTCCTGAGTAGCTAAGATTACAGGCATGAGCCACTAGCACCTAGCAATGTACGTATATTTTATATATTTATTCTTTAACCATCGTCTCTATATTCTGTAGTATTGTTTTATCTCCTCTAAAAGATGTGTAAGTAAATTTTTTAATATTTTGAAATAATGTTAGACTTTTCACCTTAATTTCAAATATTATACCACTACAATCTGAAATAAGAGAAAGATTTTTTTTTTAAAGCTGAACAAAAACTTCAGATCTGCAAGGAAAGTATTATTTAAGCAACAGTTACAATCAACATGAAATGAACTAGATCTGCCAGGCCACCTCCCTCAGAGTCTGCATGAGAGATCGGGTTAGACAAAGAGCTTCAAGGAAGCATGCCTGCAGGAAGGGGGTGTTGGTTCAAGGCTTCGCATACACTTGGCTGCACCTTTATAGCCTCTACCTTTATTCTTACTATATTCTTCTTGGCTGTACATTCGTTGCCTTTACTCTCGTTTTGGCTATTTTTCTATTGATCCGTGAATAGAGTATGTTGTATCTTTTCAGTCCAATAGAGACGGCTTCTCTAAATAATAAAGACGAAGACCAAAGATTAAATATGGGCAATGCCTCAATCAATCTATCATCTGATGTGACGCTGCTTCCAGAAACTCCTACAACTTCACAAGCAGTTTTGTGGCTCACACATAGTAAATATAGAAACTTAAAATTTCCAGATATGTTACAACAGGCAGAATTAATGAATTAAACTAAGCTAGAAGGAGTTATCGCAGAAGCTCAGAGAGTTCTAGAAAAAGGGACTCCTGATAATAAAAGGGAAAGAAAGATTCCCCCAACAGTTATGATTAAGTTTAGTCCAGCTTACTTATAGGGAATAGATGGTGGTTTCTCACTAAATATAAAGTTAGTGACATCACATTTCCTGAACCAACCGATGAACCATTACCTTATACAGGAGCTTATAAAGATGAAAATAGATGAATTAATGCAAAAGGAAAAAGGGTATTATGGAACTCATTAGATTTTATGAAAACATTAGGTAGATCTAGACCATTATGGTATTTATCATCAAAACAACAATAAGATAGTTTAAAATAACAATTAGAAATTCATGTGAACAAATATTGGAATTAAAATCATAGGAAACAGAGAATGCCTGACTCAACCTAGAAGTGGTTTTTAGGATGGTTTCAAAGGGACTTGAAAAATATATGGAAAAAAATAAAAAGAGTACAATATAAGTACAGCCCTGTCTTAGGTTTGTTAATTATTAAACATAAAAAGGCTGAATAGATGAGGCATTGCATTAAACAATATTTTAGACTTGTCTCGCACCACTTAGCTTAAACAGTTGGTGGGATAGTCATCAATTTTCATGTAATCCATCAATGCTTTGCTTTTCTTAGAAATTGATTACGTGCTTAAATAAACAAAGAATCTATGTCACAGTAGTTATGTCGAAAAACGAACTTTACAACTTTGGTGGGGGAGGGAAGGGGGGGAGGATAGAAAGGAACGGGAAGGGGAAACAAAGCAGGAGGCTACAATGCTTGATAAGAAATGTACTCATTATCTTGCCCATGTAATTGTAACCCCTCTGTACAGTATTTTCACAATAAAAATATATTTTATAAAAAGAACCTATGTCACAATCACACACTGTATAAAAATGTTAATTCTCCTCAATAAAGATACACTCAGATGCAACTCTTTTGAGTCTGTGTCTGTTTGTCACTTGGCGGACTCCTTGCCCACCTATCCCGAGATCCCTGCCCAGTGCTCCGGCCGAGCTGGTCCATCGCATAGATCCACTGTTGTTTTTTTTTAAAACAAGGAGATCAACTTCAAGAGGAACCTTCTTGGCACTCATCATAAAATCACCACAGATTATAAGACTAAGACTAATGAAAAACTAAACATGTAATGATAGAAAAGGATGATGTTAGGAAAACGGAAGAGAGAAAAAAAGGAAAAAGCCAGACTCCATTCTCAACAGTCTAAGACTGTTTTTGAGGCCCAAATAGCATAGAACCCAGCTTTCCCATGACCTTGGAGAGGGGGGGGGGGGAGGAGAGGGGAAGGGGCGGGGAGGAGGGGGGAGGTTGAGTCAGGGTTTTATAGGGTCTGAGCAAGGAGAGGGGTTACTTGAGTTTAGTATAAGGGAGTCACTGCAAAGACAGAGCATACGGTAGGTATTCACTTATCTTAGGTTTAATGTTTAAACCGCTCTGTACCTGTCCTGCCTAAAGGATATGACCTTCACAGGGTCCAGTCGGGTCTTCCAACTGGCCTCACAGCCTGACCTCAGCGCCTTACAGGCTAGGTCCACAGTGGAGTGTTGACAGCCAGGCTCGGGTCTGAGGGCCCCGCCTGGGGGTCACGCACACCCTGGCATACCAGGGGCTTCGCCTGACATCGGTGTGCACCTGGGATAACAGGATGGGGGTCCGTCTTTCAGATGGCATTTCTCAGATCTTTGGTGGTCTCAAATGGGCCCAACACTCCTCAGCTAGGAGGAAAACAGCTTCAAACACCGAAGGGATCTCTGTCTTTCCAATGATTATAAACAGTAAACACAAAATCTCACGTGTGGGCCGGGGACCGTGCTGGTCGATGCGAGGCCGGCAAAGGCCACGGCGGTGGCCGACGGTCGGCTCCGCCAGCAGCAGTGCTGCAGTCGCCCCGGCCCCCACCCCGACCCCAAGCCCGGCTGCGGGCGCCGGCATCTGGCACCTGGCACTGGCATCACCGGCTGGCTGCCCGGCTGCCGGCCCGTGCCCGCCCTTCGGCCCCCGGGGCCGCCGTCCTCCGCGCCCGGACCCCGGAGGGTGCAACTTACCGCCCCGGGAGGCAGCGGGACCATGTGGCCCACAGCGAGGCGGAACAGGTAGACCAGGCTGAGCGTGAAGGCGCAGGCGACCAGCAGCGTGGACAGCAGGTTGCCGCCCGTCACCTGCTCCATCGCCTGCTCCAGCACCGACCCTCCAGCCTGCAGTAACCCCAGTAGCACCATCGCGGCGGCGGCTGCTGCTGCGGCGGCCGCGGCTCCGCTTCACTCCGCCCGGGACACTGGAGGCCGAGGTCGCGGCCGCTCCTCCCAATAGATGGAGCCAGAGAAGCCGGCAGATGGGTGAAGGGAGGCGGCCCCGGCCTCCAGGTCTCCAGCCAAGGCCGGTGCCACCCCGCCTTCCACACCCACCACCCGCCTGCGCGCCACGGAACGGGGCGGAGCCTGCCGCTGGCCACGCCTCTAAATAGCACTCCTTGACCCTAGTCCACCACAAAAAGGATCTGAGGAAACCCGAATGCAGCTGTGCCCCAAGAGTACCAGGACGGGAGAGATTTGGCTTGGCAGGTAACAATCCCCCTAGGAACCTCATGCTAGTCGCATCTGTGTGTCTGGAGTGCGGGGTTAAGATAAATGTAATTCACCTTGTCAACAGAGCCAAGGTCAAAAACCACATGATCATCTCAATAGGTGCAGAAAAAGCCTTGGACAAAATACAATGTCACTCATGTTAAAAGCTCTGGAGAAACTAGGAATAGAAGGAATTTTCTTCAAAACAATAAAAGCCGGGGCTGGGAAGGTAGCTCAGTGGTACAGTGCTTGCCTTGCATGCATGAGGCCCTGGGTTCGATTCCTCAGCACCATGTAAGCAGACAAAGCCGGAAATGGCACTGTGGCTCAATTGATAGAGCTCTAGCCTTGAGCTGAAGAGCTGAAGGACAGCATGCAGGTTCAGAGTTCAGGTCCCACAACTGGCAAAATAATAATAATAATAAGCAAATAAATAATTTTTAAAAAACAATAAAAGCCACACACAACAGACCAACAGCCAGTACCATACTTCCCCTAAAATCAAGAACAAGGCAAGGATGCCAACTCTACTCCTCTTCAATATAATTCTGGAATCCTTACCAGAGCAATAAGGCAAGAAAAGGACTTAAAGGGATCCACATAGGGAAAGAAGAAATGAGTCTGATGGCTTCAAATAAAAGCATCTCTGACAACATCGCTGCCAAATTTAACCCTCCTTATAGATTATTAACAGGAGGTCCTGACCAGATTGATTTATTGATTTAAACCTAGGTTTTATGCTAAGTTTGGGAATACAAGGAACAAAACAAAACTGCAAGGCCCTTTGGAAATGAATAGGTATAATTGCCTGCTAGATACTTCTACGAAAAAATCAACTCATCTCAGTAAATCCAAAACCTAAACTCATATCCTCCTATCTATCTGCCCTCCTATGATGCCCACATAGAGATGGCAACACTGTCCATTCTGTTTTCCTTCTTTTCCATTCCTCACATATACTCAACTTCCTTCTTAAAAGTTTCTACATTCCTATTGCCAATGCCTTAGGTAAGGCCTTGATCATTTTTTTGGACTACATTGCTGCAACAGGACCCTACTGTTGTATGTCAAGAAAACAGAGAAGCCACATTTTGAAAGGTCAAATTGAGAGTCTTTATTAGAAAGCCAGCATCTTCAGGAGGACTGCTGTCACAAAGACACAAAGACCTGATGCAGAAATAGAGCTACCACATAGCTTTTCAAAAACCACATGCGTGGGGTGGAGACCAAGCCTTAACAAAAGTGTTATACATAAAAAAGCAAGCTAGATGAGGATATTTATTCTAATAAAAGTATTATACATGTGGGCTGGGAAGGTGGCTCAGTGGTAGAGCGCTTGCCTTGCATGCCTGAGGCCCTGGGTTCGATTCCTTAGCACCACATAAGCAAAAAGAAAAAAAAGCTGGAAATGGTGCTGTGGCTCAAGTGGGAGAGCACTAGCCTTGAGCTGAAGAGCTGAAGGACAGCACCCAGGCCCAGAGTTCAGGCCCCACGACTGGACCAAAAAAAAAAAAAAAGAAAAAGAAAAAAATGTGTTATACATATGCAGAGCAAACTATGCAGGGGAACAATAAGGGGCAATCAGAACTCCATTTTTCTAGAAGGAGCTAGAACTCCTCATAACATGTTTATAATCCAAAGATGTCGTCTATCACCTCCAGAGTTCTCAGAAAGTCCCCATTTTCTATTAACTTTTATTAAGATGGCAAGATAGAGTTACTTAGATACAATATCCATATTTCATTACTACAACAGAAGCCTCTTACTTCCAGGGTTTTTTTTTTCTTTTTTGGGGGGGGGTCCAGTCGTGGGGCCTGAACTCTGGGCCTGGGTGCTGTCCCTCAGCTCTTCAGCTCAAGGCTAGCGCTCTACCACTTGAGCCACAGTGCCACTTCTGGCTTTTTTTTTTTTTTTTTTTTTTTGCTTATGTAGTGCTGAGGAACTGAACCCAGGGCCTCAGGCATGCAAGGCAGGCGCTCTACCACTGAGCCACCTTCCCAGCCCTACTTCCAGGTTTATCTTTGTCCTTTACACTATTGTTACTTCTTGAGTCATTAAAGTAACTTTGGGCCATAATCCCAAAAGACACAATCCTCAACACCATGATCACAAATGTTAAAATCCTGATCAAAAAAGCTGGGCACTGGTAGCTCATATCTATAACCCTAGTATGGGATCACATAAGATCAGAGGTTGTGCAAAGAGATATAGTTGGCTGGGCCTTAAATAGGGTTTAAGTAAGGAGGCAGAAGTTAATGAAAAAAGTCCTTAAGTCAAAGGAGGTGGGGCTTTTTGGACCCACAATGGAATATTTACAGCCAGGCTTAGGTGGATTGCCCTGCCAGAGTCAGGGAGTCTACAAATATCTGTACCTGACATCTGTATAAACCTGAGAAAATAGGGTGGGGGTCAACCCTTCCTATTCCATCTTTAGATACATAAAAAGATTGGGCTGAGAGGGAAGAGCCAAATCCTTCATACAGGGTCTTTGGCTACATAAAAGAAGTGGGCTGGAAGAAGAGACTCCTCTCTGGAAATTCTTTGTCCTGCCCTGGGGTTTTATTGTCCAAACTCTCCTGTTTGGGACTTCCAGTGTACACAGTCCTGTATGGAGAGTTCTATGGAGGGGGTATCCTCCTGATGCCAGCAGTCCTTCAGATAAGGTTCCCAAGAACCAGCCCCTGAGTGAGGGTAGTCAGTGGGCCATGGGAGCAACACGGAATTATGAGAACAAAGCAGATGCCCATCATTTGAAATGCTGAAGGGGTATAAAAAGTTGAAGGACATCATGGTCTTTTCTGGCTACTTCCTGCTGACATGAGGGCATCAAGGAGTCACTGGAGCAGGGGTCTTCAGGGTGCAGGTCTGTGTTGGGCAAGGCAGGGTGGCATAAATGAAGCCTCCAGTTGCCTGCAGTAATAGGATGGCCTTGACTTGCTCTAAGGTAGTGTCCTGTATGAGGGTTGTTATCCTGTTAAAGAGAAACTTTTGAATATGGATGAGAAAACAGGATCCAAGAAAGTGGAATTTCCATATAACTGGACTGGGGTCTATGGTTTCTGATGACTGGGTAGGGGAGAGTTTGATGATAAAAAATAAGCTGTCAGAAGGTAGGGCTGGATTGGAGTGGTTAAAGGCTGGTGAGAGGTCTTGATCATTTCCTATAACTGGATGCCTGGGCTTATAGAGTCTGGACTATAGAGTACAGATGGGAGACCCAGTAAGGTGCCAAGGCAAACTGTCCTGAGTCCAAGACTCATTATAAATAGAAATAGTAGGTAACAAAGGCAAGAATTAAGTTCCTGGAAGTGGTGCTGTGGCTCAAGCAGTAGAGTGCTCGCTTTGAGCTGAAGAGCTTAGGGACAGCGCCCAGGCCAAGTTCAAGCCCGACGACTGACAAAAAAAAAGAAAGAAAGAAAGAATGTAAGTTTCTGTGTCCAATTAGAAGGTAGACAGGTATGGACATTAGATAGGTATGCTTATTAACTATTTTCTTTTGATCTCTCTGCTGTGGTTAATTTTGAAAGGGTGAATGCAAAGTAACTCTATTTAGGATGTGACACCATCCATTCTTGCTCCAGGACTAAATTTGTTCCAGGGGTCTAGGTGCTCATTGCTGGGATGGCTTGTCCAGGTTGGCATCTCTTTTGTCAGTCATGGGTTTGAACTCAAGGCTGGGCTCTGTCTCTGAGCACTTCTTCTCAAGGCTAGCACTTTACCACTTTGAGTCACAGCACCACTTCCAGGATTTTGCTGGTTAATTAGAGATGAGAATCTCACAGGGATTTTTCTGCCCAGGCTGGCTTTGAACCATGATCCTCCTTACTCCCAACTGAAGCAAGAAGAAGATCAAATATAAATGTTGTTATTTTTAATTGCATATAACATTTTAGGATAGTAATTGAAGTTAAGACATTGTGAGTGTCAGTATAAGCCTTTGTGATTACAATGAAGAATGCAAAGGAGTTGGTGTCCTTTGAGCTCTATATCCAAGGCAGCTTACATATTAAACAGGGAAAAATGTAATTCGAGTTAAAAGGTGTTCATTTGAAGGAGCTTGACAAACAAACACTTAAGTGAACTTTGGTTTATACAATTACTTATATAGATGGACATAATAAATAAGATGTTGGCTTTACATCAGTGTATTAATCTTGACCTTATTTAAATCATAGCCAACTTAATTACATACCAACTTTATGAAGGATGTAGGCTTGCTAGTTTTTTTTCCAGCTTTGTTTCCAAGGAGCCTTGTATACTTGGGGGGGGGGCAGAAATATTAATAACTTAGGAAAAAAATCTTAGATCAGTTTTTAAATTACAGATAATTACATGCCAATTTTACCAATGTATAAGCTTTATCTTATAAAACTCAATATTCACATCATCCTCTACTGACTCACACCATATTCTACTTATTCAAACCTTCTGGGGTTAATTCCTCCCATTTTGGAGAGACATTGAAGACAACGCTTACTTTGCAAAATATTTTCTTACCCAAAGGAAACTGTCAGGCCACTGGTGGAAGTAGGCAGCCGGGGAAAATGTCAGGCGCCCGGGGTGGGGGTGGGGGGCGGGGTACAGACCTGCTGCCAAGAAAGACCACATCCTTCTGAGTCAACCGTTCTTTGAGTGCACTGGCCTAAAACCTAAAACCACTGCTCAAACTTGCAAAACAAGCTACATGCCACAAGTCCCCACTCACTAACAGTTCAGCTTTTACCCCGCCTGTTAAAGCTCTGCTGCAACTAAACTCAGTGCAAGCTCTCTGATCCCAACCAGGGAGTTCACCCAGGAGC